GAGTAAGGTTTAAGCTTTGTCTGCCACCCCCTCCCATCTTTACCTCCATTATAATAGCTCTTTCATGCCTCTTTTATGTGGAATAATTTACCCCATTCAATTTCTCCTCTCCTTCTTCCAGTGCAATTTTCTCTCTCACTCCTTTGTTTTTTTTGGGGGTGGTATTATCCCATCAAAGTCACCTTATATCCATACCCTCTGTCTACATACACTCTGTCTAATTGCTCTTATAACAATAAAGTGGTTGAGTTACAAATATTATCTTGCCATATAGAAATATAAACAGTTTAACTTTAATTATGTTTTCTCTTTCTAGTTTCTTTTTTACCTTTTTATGTTTCCCTTGAGTCTTGTATTTGGAGGTCAATTTTTTTATTCAGCTCTGGTCTTTTAATTAGAAATGCTTGAAAGTCTTCTATTTCATTAAATGCCTATTTCCCTCCTGAAACATTACATTCAATTTTGCTGTGTGATTCTTTGTTGTAATCCTAATTGAAAACCATAAAACCATTGGCCTCAGATGTCAGTCCAGAAATACTCTAAATAATGGGTAGAGATCCTAATGCAAGGGGGAAAATTTGACCCCTTGATTGTTATTGAGACTTAATGTGATGAAAACCATGACTAGAGTATGGTTCTGAGAGAGAAAAACTCATTTATAAGTAACAGAAAAGGTGAAAAGGTATCAAAGTAAATATGTAGAAAAGATTGGTTTGTGAGGACATCCAGGAACTGGAGAGGAAAATGGTAGAAAAACGTTTGAGTGAAAGTCTACAGAAATAGAAGCAATATTGTTATTGGAATAAATAGATGAGGATTTCAGGACATTGATCTTAAGCCAGTAATGGAGATATGATCCAGTAATGACAGAGGAATTAATTTATTTGAATATCTGCTAGAGTTCTTGCCATCTAAAAATGTGTTTAATGTTCTATCGAAAGATTTATAATGTTGTATGTGTTTTCAGATAGAGTTGTTATAATAGCTTGTTTTGCTTAACTGTCTTCCTTTGTTATAAGGGGGAGATTCTGAGGTGTTCAGGTGAGGGTTGGAGGGGGTGCTTATAGAAACCGATGATAGAAAAAAGCAACAATAAAACATTAAAACATATTAGTGCCCAGTTTGGCATCACATTGACTGTGCTTTATAGCCCAGATAAAATGCTGAATCCCTGGTTTGCAAGAATAGACACCCCTCCCCCCAAAAAAACAACAACTTAGAAGCATAATGGTATTCTCAGCCTAAAACTTCTGTAGTAACCAGACAAAGACTCAAGCATTTTTTCATGTGAAAAGAGCTCTGTCCAAGATATTGCCAAATTGAGGCAGCTTTGCAATATGTTTGGTGCCTTATTTTAAAAGAGTGGACACTTGGCAGGCTGAGATCTGATACTAGATTTATGCCTTATGGAAATATGCTAGATAATATTTCTTTAGAAAAGTATTAAGCAGTAATAATTATGTCCTAGGTTGGAATTATTGACTTGCAACTTCTAAAAATCAGGAATCTGATTACATTAAGAAAACAATTTGTTTCTGAATTGTCAATTCTTTAAATGGATATTTTTGTAGTATAGATTGTTGATGTGTGGCCGTGAGACTGCAAAAAATTGTGTGTGTATGTATGTATGTTTATATGTATTTATATATACACACACACATACACATATGTATATACACATATAGCATTGCCTTTATATCCCCATTAGAAACTGCAGCTTCGTGCTTTTCCTGCCCCTTTACAAGACAGTCAAGGATAGTGTCAAGTTCAAAGTTCAAGTCAGAGCTTATTGAGGCACTGGGTACCTACTTGCCATATTGCAAAACTTCTCCTGTCTTGGTGTTTCAGAATGCAAAGCAACTGTCCTCAAACTTCTGTTGTCTGCATGTCCCTCCTGTTATCTTCTGGGGGGTGTCATTCCATCTCTAGCCCCAGCTATTAACTTTAAGCCAGTGTTCCATTTCTTAAGGATTTCAATGAAAAGTGTGGCATCCATTCAAAGATTCTGCAAAAGCCCATCTTCTTCCATCAATATTCCAGCCAAAGCTGCAGCAGAATTCCAATTGTAGGTGAAACCCAAGGGTGATGGAAAAATGCGCAGTGTATGTACACAGATGTGGCTCATTGTCAGTGAGACTTGTGCTCAGTAAGAAGATGTGAAATATGTTGTTCAGTATGTGTATAATTGAGAAAAGGAAATTAGCCAGACGTAGTGAAATAGGGGAGTATAATAATCCAATACTGCATTGATTCTCTAAAATATTAAAAATATTAAAAAAGATTACATTAACAAAATACTGTTCTTTGACATCCTTTCTCTGAAATTTCCCTTCCTCTTTATTTTGTCTCTTTTTTCTTAACCTGTCTTGTGAGAAATCCTACCTTAACCTTGCCCATTCTAGTTATTATCCTATATTTCTTTTTTCACTGTCAAAATTTTTCACATGTATATTCACTACCTTCTTTTTCTTACAAATCATTCTTGGTATAAGTGCTATATTCTAGGTTCTACTATCTCTACCGTACTGAAATTTCTTCTCCAGGGTGAGAAGTGACCTAATTACTAAATCAAATGTCCTTTTCTCAGTCTGGCCTCCACAGGTACAACTGTCTGTGAGTTAGTAGGCAAGGCCTACAGCATTACGTAGAGAGAGATTAAGTAATTTGCTCAGCACCACAGAGCAGTGGAGGTGGAATTTGAACCCAAGTCATCCTGATTCCACACTCAGCAGGGATGAGTCCTTTAACCTCCAAGACTCAAGTAGCTCCTTAGGATTTAATCTTCTAAGTCATAGCAAAATTATGTACCTTTAGTATTCTTTGAGCCTTCCTGACCACCCTGATGTCTCCTTTATTTTTTGAAACTCTCTCTTCTTGACTTCTGTAATGTTACACTAGTCTTCCCTTTCTGTTGCCTTATACAAACTGCTTTTTTTCCATCCACTTCTTTAATGTGACCAACACTCATTGTTCAATCCTTATATAATCTTTCTTAGAAATCTCAACTACTTCCACCTTTTCAGCTGTTACCTTTCTATAGATGATTTCTAAATCTCTATCTTCTGTTAATCTTCTCCTGATATTCATTTTCACATGTGCAAGTGCATGCTTGAAATTTCTAGCTGGATGCCCTCTTTGTACCTCAAAATTCAATATAGCTCAAGCTGAACTCATCCTCCTTCTCAAGCTAGCTCCCTTTCCTGACTTCCCTGATAATGGTACTATGGTAGTATGGGCATATAAAAGCGCAAGAGCCTGAGAGTTATTTAGTACTAAAGAACAGTCCTTTTTATCATACAAGCCTCTGGGGGCATCATTTTATGACAGCATGACTTTGAGTCATCTGAATAATGTTGTCCTATCTTCTGTTTAAGAAGTCAGTAAAGTTCATTTTAAAAGGACATTGATGACGAGAAATATGCCCAGAGGAGCATAAGCAGGATGGTAAAAGGCCTCAAGTTCATACCATAAGATTGGTTGAAGGAACTGGGGATGCTTTGCCAAGAGAAGAGCTGGCTCAGGGTGGACATAATAGTTCTTTTCAATTATATGAAAGACAATTACGTGGAATAAAGATTAGAATCATATCAGTCTTTTTTATAGTAGCAAAGAGCTGAAAACAAAGTAAATATCCATCCATCGGGGAATAGCTAAACAAATTTTGCTAAATGAATGTAACAGAGTATTTCTGTACTATGAGAAACAATAAATATGAAGAATTCAGAAAAAATTTATATGAAGTAATGTTAAATGAAATAAACAGAACCGGGAAATTAATATACACAGTGACAACTACAACAATGTAAATAGAAAGAGCAACAAAAGCAACACACCTTTCCCCTCAAAACTGAAGACTGTATAATCACAGTGACTGAGAGTGGACTAAAAGAAGAAATGAGAAAATGAAATCTTCCTTCTTGGGGGTGGCTGTGAATGTAGAATCATGCTTCTTCCATTTGAATGTAATCTTCTTGAGAGCAGGGACTGTTACTCTTTTTTTTACTGTATCCTCATTGCTTAGCCCTGTGCCAGGCCTATAGTATTGTAGGTGCTTAATAAATGCTTATTGATTGGTGGATATACTGTCAGTTTAGGTTGATAAACTGATTAGTTTTGCTAAACTGTTTTTCTTCCTATTATTCTTTGTTACAAGGGATAGCACTTTGGGTGGGGGAGGGAGAGAGGTATGTTTGGAAGTGAAAGTGGTAAAAAAAATATCAATAGCAATTTAAAAATAATAGATTTATTCTGCATTACCACTTGACAGTAGAAATAGGAGCAATGGATTCAGATGGGCAAATTTAGGTCCGAGGCTATACTAAAAAAAAATTCTTCGTAATTAGAGTTATCCAAGAGTGCAATTGGGACGCCTTGCAAGATTTGGGGTTGTGACACAATCCTTCCCCACCAACTTCAGTGGAGGTCTTAAAGCAAAGGTTGCATGATGACTGGTCCTTTACATTAAAGAAGAGGTGGGGTGTGTGTGTGTGTGTGTGTGTGTGTGGGTGTGTATGGGTGTGTGTGGGTGTGTGTGCGCGTGTGTGTGTTTGGTTTTTTTCAGGTGCAGGTTACACTAGATGACCTCAGAGGTCTCTTCCACTTCTAAGATTCTGTATTTAATCCCCAGGCAACACTGGTGGCCAAGTGCCTAAACCTCTATCCAGCACCAAAGAACATTCAGAGAAAGTACCAGACCCTGTTTGTTTCTCGGAGAATTGTTTACAGCTGTCACTTAGCTCTGCCGTTTTGTGGGTGGCAGTGCATGTTTCTTTAGTCTAGGGGCAAAATCTTTATAGATTTCTCCAATTAATGATTAGTACTCTCTATTCCTTCCTCAAATGACCAAATATATGTATACCTAATTACATGTTATATCCTCCCAATTAAGGCTCTTGACTTTTTTGCCCCTTTTTTTTCTTTGCTGCCTACTTGTGAAAGATGACAGAGTAAAAGAATTTTAACCTAGATGTTGACTATCTTTTGTTGTTATGCTCACACAGTTCCTCAGTGGGTAGTGCACTTCCACGAAGACGTTGCTGTGCCTATATTACCATTGGAATGATATGTATTTTCATTGGAGTTGGATTAACTGTAAGTGTTATATTAATGGTGAGATTAATAAAGTTCTCTATTTTTAGCTGTGCAACATAGTGGTACCTGTGTAGTATAGCAAAAAGAGTTCTGGTCTTGGAAATCTGGGTTTAAATTTGTCCTTAACTATTTGTGTGCCTCAGCAAGTCACTTCACTTCCTGGACCTCAGTTTTTTCATTTGTAAAACAAGGAGCTGGAATAGATGACCTCTAGAGTCCCTTCTATCTCTGAGTCCTCTGGCCTACCCATTGGCTTATAAATTTTACTGTGGAACTAATAGAAGTCAGTTGTCTTTTGTTTCTTGCTAGGTCTAACTTTGCCACTGTCCTGTGGCTCATTCCTACTGAGACAGGAGGACTATGGGTATGGAGTGCAGAAAATAATTTTTTTTCCCCCTAATTCATGCTAAACGAGAAGGATCCCATATCAGGGTGGGGAGGATTTGTCTGAGAAAAGAACAAAGCTTAGTAGGCATAGAGAGCAGGCTCAAAGACTTGAAGTAAATTAGTCCTTTTGCAGCCGTTTAACTTTTATTCTCCTCTGTTTCTCAAGGAAAATTCACTCATTCACTGTACTACCTGTACCCCCCCGGTCAGATAGACTGGATGCTTTTTAGAATTTATCTACGTCTAATAATTTTAAATAGCTAGTTGTTAGCAGATATTTTTATTAATGAATAAAGATCTGAGAATTCTACTTTGGGTTGACTATATTTTACCCTCATATCAAGGAAATATTGTTTGGGGATGGTTATTTTTTTCTATCTGTTGATATATTTTTAGATGGTAAGTAAGAATATGAAAGTTTTATAAGTAGTATTATGCAATTTTTCATTTAAGGTGCTATTTCCTCAAATTTCCTAACCCTGAAATATTCTGTTTTTCTTTTCATTTTAGGTTGGTACACAAGATTTTGCCAGGCGATTTCATGCAACCTATGTTTCTTGGGCAATTGCTTATCTTTTAGGCTTGATCTGCCTTATCCGAGCTTGTTACTGGGGAGCCATAAAAGTCAGTTATCCAGAACACAGTTTTGCTTAAGCTTGCTTCTAGTTATAGTTTGCTACAGGTGAGAATCTCTAGAAGTTCTGGGTAAAACAAGTGGACATTTTAAAATAATTTTCTTTGATGAATTCCATTCTAAGTACAGTAGTTCCAAGTTGGGGGGAGGGTCTTTTAAAAAAAATAAATATCCATTGCACTGCATTATATGCAAAGAATTTGTTTTGCTGCTAGATTTCCAAGCTCTGAATAATAAAGCTATGTTTACATGTTTATTTACCTATATAATGAGGTACTTTAAAATTTTTAACTCACATTTTAGGTTTTACATCTACTTTTCATTATTTTAAAATTTTTTTGTTGCATTACTTTATGATCTGAGTATTTAAGAGCAAGAAGCATTAATCAGTATTTCTAAAATAACCTCATAATCATACTTAGATTTTAATTACAGCTGTATCAAAGTGGCTTGCTTTAAGATCTAAGCAATAAGCATTCTGCCTGAACTTACTGTAACTTTTACAGAAGATCATAGTGACCTTATTCAAAACACAATGTTTGAATCTACTTTCAGATACTGTGACACTGTTACCAGAAGGAAAACATTTGTAAACACTGTATGTTTGTTTTTCAGGTAGAAAGAAATAATATTTTGGTAGTATTGAAATAGAATGATAAAATAATCATTTGTCCACTATGGGAGAAAATGTTGGATAAATGTCTTTTCTCAAGGATCCCAGATTGTTTTTTTTTTCTCCTGATTTTATTTGTCTGTTCTAAAAAGCCCTAATCTAGATTCATGGAACTTAATTTTAATAATTTGTAGAAGTTCCTTTACCCAGTCTGGGGAAAGTGTTTCATATAATGTTTTATAATACATAGCTATCTTGTAGAAAAAGGTAGGGTTACATTGGTTTGCTTCTTGTCATTTGATTGTGGCAAACTTTCCCTTTGGAGGCCATTCTGTAGTGGTCATTTGGAAAGGGAGTTATTGACATTTTACGCTAGCTAAAAGGATGAGTATACAGTTAGTCTTACCACTCCATCCTAATATAGCTGGTCAATTAAATATCTACTTTATATAAGGTGGAACAAGCAACAAGAAGCAACTTAGTTTTCTAAGAATTCACAAGGGTTAAGGGACCAGCTCTCACACTGCCCATCTTTACAATTCTGAAAACAGCTTTTTTTGCAAAATTGAGAGAGAATGTCCTGAGCTCTTTGTAAGTTAGTAATTTTTAAGTAATGGGGGTTGGAGTAATTAGTTAGATGTTGCAGGAATAAGAAAAATATTTTTAAATATTTTCTGTTCCTAATTTGATCAAGAAGACACTCAAGATAATTTGGAATACAGTAAGTGTAAACTTTGAAGGGTAAATGATGATTAATGTAAAATGCAATAGCTCAGGATTATAATGTACATTTTAAAGTACACTAATAAAGATAATTATTCAAAAGTTTCCCTGTTTTCCCTCCATGTAATTATTAATTTTAGTTAAGGTGTATCTTTTCTGACTGGTCTATATCACTTGTGATTTTGTTTCACAGCAGCCCTCACAAGGAAGGAGGAGATTTAGGGCAAGTCCTATTAATGAGCTCTTTTGTATTTTAGACTAAGTATAGAAGCAAGTTATGGATAAATGGAAATAGCTTCCTTTTTAAAATATACTTTGTCTTAGAAAATGTAGGTGTATTTCTTTATCCCTATTTACAGATATAATTTATCCCAACAATTACTAACTATTCATTTTTCAAAATCATACTATTTGCAAAAATACATTAAGCTTTGCTCCTTAGAGGAATTTAAAAGGGACTAAGGACTGTTTATAATGGATTTGTTGCATTCAATTGAGAAAAAAATAAACTGTCAGCCCTCAATTATTTAAGGGCTGATTATCCAGTTTGTGAATTTTCCAGCCTATTCTTCCTTCTTTTCCTTAGGCATTTCTCTAATTCCATCAGAGGATAAAGACATAAACTAAAATTCAGATAAATCAATTTGACTAATTGCTAAGAGTTCTGATTTGTGATGGGGGATTTGAAATTATTGGCAAAAATGAGGTTTAGAAAGCATCTGTGGATTTAATTTATTCATATTACCCATGTTCCATCTGCATAGGTATTTGAAAGGTTGTTTTATTCATCTAGGTCTGTCATTCATATCTTTAGAATAAGTGCTTTCAAAGAAATCACAGAAAATTACTTAAAAGGAAAAAATTACATAAAAGTGAGTTTAAGAAAAAAGGGCTCAACTATAGCAACAAGTCTACCTTGATTCACTCTTCTTTCTTTTCCACAGAATATTGCCATTTCCCCACAGGAGGGCTTCAGGTATCCTGCAATTAACCACAAACTTGGTTAATACGAAGGTTTTAGTTACTTCTTTGGGACTAAACTAATGGAAGTTTTAGCAGCGTAGGATGGAGATTATTTTCCCTACTGTTTCTCATCAAGCATTTGGCTTTTAAAAAGGCCTTACAGCATGAGGGGACCATGCATATCTTTGTCAGGCCTCCTCTTTCCACTTCTTCTCAACCTCTCTCAGACTTTAGAATGGCTGCTCAGATACCTGGGGATTCTGCATATGGGATTAATTGCCAGGTAATGTCTACATAAGGGGAAAAGACATTTTAATAGACCTAGCTGGTATGCCTTTTACACAGAGCGATGGAATAGAATATAGGAAACCTCGGTGACATAATGGATAGAGTGCTGGGCCTGAAGTCAGGAAGACCTAAGTTCAAATCCAGCCACAGACACTATTTATGTGACCCTGAGCAAGTCACTTAACCTCTGCCTGCCTCAGTTTCCTCATTTGTAAAATGGGGATAATAATAGCACCTACCTCCCAGAGTTGTTGTGAGGGTCAAATGAGACAATATTTGTGAAATGCTTAGCATACTGTCTGGCATATGGTAGGCACTATATAAATGTTAGCTTTTATGATTCTAGTCATTATTATTGTCCTGGATTTGCCTTAAGGGCATGGTCATGGAAAAAAATCTCTTCACCTTTCTGGACCTCATTTTCTTCGTCTATAAATTGAGAAGATTGGATACTCTCTAAGATACCTTTGGCTCTAACGTGATTCTGAAGGATCATTCGTGGAAATTGTTCCAACAAATAAATTATTTTTCCTCACTTCCCTTGTCATTAATTGTTCCAAATGTTTTATTTCTCTGTTCCTAAATTCTCTCCTCTGTCTTTCTTCTGTTGACTTTTTTCTCCTTTCACTTGGCTCCCTAATTCCAGTGACTCTAAACTTATAATATACATCAACGAAACTATGGAAAACAACCAAAATTTTTTTTTAAATACAAAATTACCTATTTTCTTCCTTTTTCTTTGTATCCAAAGTGTGATCCATCTTAGACTGCAATCTCCTTGAGGCCAGGAGTTATGTCTATTATTTTTCTTTAATCATAACACCTAATTTGTGTGTCACCTAAATAGCACCATGCTGGCATACACAGTAACTATTATTTTCACTTTGTGTGTATCTGCTTATGTCCTGTATCCTTTAGTCTCTTATCAATATTATTAGGTATAATTTAATAAGTATCTATGATTACACAGTGCAGCAAAGGATAGGTACACATAAAATTTAAAAGGCATTGTCCTGCATCTAAGTCTAACTACCAGTTATTATTTGGATAACCATGATGAGTAAACTAAAGACAGGATATACAAGACCACAGTTAACTAAAAATATTACAAACCAAGATAGATTTTGGTGGATTTTGGTTTGAGGAATGGGAATGGTGAGAGAAGAGCTTAGACAGGGAGAAGAATTTTTTTAATCACCATTTCATATCTCAGTAAGAATAATCTGAATGATTTTCTCTGCTGACTCCCGTCTTGCCCTGTGTTATCTTATGGTGAAAACTTATAAAATATTGATGGGGTCACAATGAAGACAATCATATGGGACAAATGATAAAGCATGGCCATAGATATAACTGTGACTTGCCCGTGTGCCTTCAAAACCTCTCCTGGATAGGATTCATAAAAATGAAAGAGAGGCTGATCTGAGATCAGCTAGATCCTACTGAACAACTTTGGACTGAGCCTGCTGAAAAAGAGACCAATGGACAAGATACCTTTTCCCAGGAGAAGAAAGGCGCTTGAGACCAAGGAGACCAAGGGTTCTGTGCCAAAGATGACAGAGGGATGCGAAATAGGCCACCATATGTTTTACACTCACTGTTGACAGCATGGTCACATACATGCTAAGTATCTTCAAGAGGGGACTTCACCACTGGTTTGCCAGAATCTAAAGGTCATGGACAGTCATCAGAAAAAGTTATTGACAGGGGTAGCTAGGTGGCACAGTGCATAAAGTGCTGGACTTGGAGTCAGAAAGACTCATCTCCCCGAGTTCAAATCTGGCCTCAGACACTAGTTTGTGACCTTGGGTAAGTTCTTAACCCTGTTTGCCTCAGTTTTCTCATCTATAAAATGATCTAGGAAAAGGCAAACCACTCCAGTATCTTTGTCAAGAAAACATCAAATGGGGTCATAAAGAGTTGGATATGACTGAAAAACAACTGAACAATAACAACATCCTAAATCCCAAAGAATTTTGTCCTTGTCCCATCAGTCTTTTTCTAGAATAACATGTAGTAATCATAAAGAGCTGACAGTGGTGAGTAGCCTGCTATGCCAGACAGTGGATCCCAAGAAAAGTATACTCTAGTCATTTTATGGAGGACAGCCCAGACTCTCAGCCCTCATTCAGGGAAGCAACTTCTGTGAAGGGGTCAGCCAACTGCCACCCATGGGTCTAAGCAAACTAGCCTAGCTGAAGCATCAAGACAACCTGAAGGAGAAATAGGCCCACACATCCCACTGATGATGAATATTGAATTTGGAGAACTGTTACCTCCCCCCCATCTTATATTTGTGGAGGGTTTTTTTTTTGTATCTAAGTGCAAGATTTTACATTTATCCCCGTTGAATTTCATCTTGTTATATTTAGCCCAAGTCTCTCACATGGCAAGATGCTTTTGTTCTCTGCTTTGCTGTGCATATATAAATGAATAAAGTACATGTAAATTATGAAGCATTTGCTGTGTTCTAACTATATGCCAGGAACCTTGTTAAACACTGGGGATACAAATTCCAGAAATTGAGACAGATCCTGCCTTGAAGGACAATCTATTGAGGGAAAACAACACATAAAGAGGAGCTAGAAAATGTAGATAGGAGTATTACTCATATACTCTATGGTTTGTAAATGACCATGGATGCCTGGTTTTGGTGAGAACTCACCTATCAGAGCCAAGAGTGGTCTTAAGGTCAGAATCCAAGGTTCCAGTATGAGAGTAATAAGTAGTTGTAATAAGAAGTTGAGGTGGTTTGTGAATGGTCAAGGAGTGCTTATCACCACTGGGATGAAATATAAAAATTCTCCATTTGGCTTTTTACACCTTACTCTACGTACTCTATGATCTAGTGACTCTGTTCTCCTTGTTCCTTGTACAAGACTTTCCATCTCTCAATTCCATTCATGTCCCCATTGCCTATAATTCTCTTCCTTCTAGTCTCCACCTCCTGGCTTCCTTAAGGACTTAACTAAAATCCAACCTTTTGTGAGAATCTTTTTTTGGTTCTCCTTAATGTTGATCTATATACACATGTATATATGTATGTATGTATGTGTATACATATACATATGCATATGTGTATATATATATATATTCAAAACATATTTGAATGTCTTTCTCCATTAGAT